TATGATAGCATAATTTTTTTAAAAAATCAAAATAGTAAGCATTTAAACATATATCTTTCCTTCCATTGTACAGACTGCCAGACCATGAGTCAAAAGTGCTCCAGGAGCAGCCTCATGAGTTTGCTGGTTTGTATTATTTCACAAGTGAAATGCAGCCCTTTCAGAGCACTTGCTTCTCTGTGTGCCTTACCAACACACTGCTCTTCTCCAGGACCCTACTGGGGTTTCAGAGTACTTACCAGGGGAAACTGGGGCTAATTTGTCACCTATCAGCCAAGCCAATGACCAAAATGAACACTTAATCCCTGTTCTTTCACCAAGGGAGTGAATTGCCAGCATTACCCTATAGCCTGTTAGTATTACAATACAGGCCTCTAAAACCCAAACACTTATACAATGTGCTTTGTCAACATATAAATATTTTTTCTTCTCATATAAGGGTATATATGACCCCATACATATCACCCTTTCCAGGATAAGGGCCCCATTTACTGCACTGCTGCATTTTCAGCTGCTGCAACGCCAACTATTACATACAGGCAAAATCCCTTATGATTTTTCTGTATTACTTTTCAGAAGAGAGGAAAACTTATGGGCTAGATACACATTGCATGAAATTTAAGCAAGATGTGGAAATTAAGTTAATTTTTTCACCAAACTATACTACTTTAGGGACAGATTCTATCATTTCCAGCTTGCTTTGAACTATATAATCTTCCCTACACTCATAGGCTACAGTATCAAACTATGATATTCAGCAATATATGCAAGAAATTTCTTCTGGAGGTCAGAGAGTCAGTGAGTTCAGCATGAAATAGTGATGTGCTATAAGCTAGACAAGTACATTTTACCTACTTTCTTATGCTTATACACAGAAATACATACAAGGTAGAAGGAGATCCTAGAAGGTGCAAACCAAATATATGTCTTTCAAACACACATCAGTCTGTAGCATCATCCCTTTTTTAACACAACTAAACTGGTTACTCAGGATTTTTATTCCTTCTGCAGATTGAAATTATTTAACCCTTAAAGGCTTTGTATTTGGTTTTGTTCTTCTTCTTTACTGGACTACTTCAATTTGCTGATGCTTTTCTAGCAGTGAGGTGCCTGCCTTAGGATAGTACACTTAGAACAGGAACATTAGGCCATGTAGAGGACTAATGAGCTTCCTGAATTAACACTGAACAACCCACATTAAAACCAAGCTGTAATTAAGAATAGCCATTTCCCTGCCTCATTTGCATAATTTATACATTCTCTTGCAGCCCTGAACAGTGGTGAGAAGATTTCAAAGTTTCAGGATAAGTCTTAGGAAGTGATGCATCCCAAGTCTAGCATACACAGAATGTGATTTTAAACATGCCCTCATGTTGAAAATATTCAGTTCACTATTTGTAAATGTATTTCATGCAATACTTGCTACAATCAGCATATTTCCACTTTTTCTCATTTCACACAGGGACATCAGGCTAGATGCATTTTAACAAAGTGGGTCCACTAAGTTATTGAGAAACAGACCCTGACTCTTCCCATCTCTGACATGATCCTCTCAGCCCAAACTCAATGCTCAAAACAAGATGTGACAACAGGGCCTATCCAGCAGCAGCAAAGGTCATGTGTTTGCAATTACAACCCACTGCAAATGCTTTGGGTACCTAATGTTCCAAGCAGTGTAAGCCTAAAACCTGCAGCCAGTGGGCTAAAACAGCCATGTGATCTCCCAGCACTACCTGCCTTCTTGACATGGGTTGCAAGTTCTGTCTGGGTCTGAGCTGTCAATTGCTGTCTCCCTCAAGTTCCCAAGAACTTTGACATTTACAATTTTACAAGCAGAAATATAGTATAGGTATGCTTTTACCTGTGCTGATTTTGTGGTGAATTTGGGAGGTAGGAGGCTTGTGTCAGGAAAAGTGCCTTCAGGAGGATGGAAAAAGCCTCTTTCTCACACACTTATCCATATGATTATTGCTGATCTGTAGCATCCCTTGCATTTAGGGAGCAAGTCTTTCTCAAGGAGAGACTTCCAGCTAATATAGGATGGTATAAACAACAGACAAGCTAAAACCAACAGAAAAACTCCCTTCCATTTATAGGTTTATTTTTCTCAGTTCAGGTTCTGGAGATCATCAGCATTATTGTTCCTTGAGTCCCCTCAGTCCCCAAGCAAAGGTTAATCCACACACGTTGTCAGAGGTGGTCCTTGACAGATGATCTTAGAACCATAAGGCATACCAAGTATGGGAGGCATAAACAGACACTTCTTCCACTTTTACACATGGCAGAAGGATGTCAAGTGATTTATTTCCGGATAAGAAGCTGGGATAATAATGGAAGTGCTTTCCACTCAATAGTACCTTTACAAAAAAAGGTACACATGGTGTTCCTAAACCCATGCAGTCAGAGCTTCACTAGTTTGGAAAGTCACCAGTCTGCATAACCAGCTTCATCACAACAAATTCTCATGGATTATCCATGGGCAGCCATCCAGAAGAGAAGGAAGGGAAGGGAAGGGAAGGGAAGGGAAGGGGGAAGGAAGGGGGAAGGAAGGGAAGGGAAGGAGGAAGGAAGAAAGAAAGAGAAAAAGAAAGAGAAAGAAAGAAAGAAAGAAAGAAAGAAAGAAAGAAAGAAAGAAAGAAAGAAAGAAAGAAAGAAAGAAAGAAAGAAAGAAAGAAAGAAAGAAAGAAAGAAAGAAAGAAAGAAAGAAAGAAAGAAAGAAAGAAAGAAAGAAAGAAAAAGAAAGAAAGAAAGAAAGAAAATGCAGCTACTTGAACTTTATCCTCTGACTTTTCAAAGCATGACTCTCAAGGAGCAAAAAAAGCCAATGAGAAATGAAAGTGTTTTTCTGTTACAAGATTTCAGTGTCAAGCTGTGTGTTAAGCCACAGTGATATACTAAAATAAACAAAACTGTTTCTTTCAGAGTCCAGAGAAATTAATATGACCAAAAATATTTTTGGAAGACTTTTCTGTGCAGTGAGCAAGATTTCCATGCAGTTAACCTTAGTCTCTGTGTGTTGGTAGGTCCATTAGGCCAACACTACATCACACTCATATTCCAGGGATAGGCTGTTAGAAGCATTTCCTTAGGGAGAGCTGCAGCCCAAGGAGTCTCCTTCTGTCTTGGCCTTTGTCTCTTGCATTTGTGCAAAGCCCTACTGGGGCCTGCTTCAGATTCCTATCTGACAGTCAGTCAGTAATGTAAGAATGAACATACAGCAGACTAATTGGAAACACAGAGCAAATGTTACAGGTTAGCCAGCTAGTGGGACTTATGTCCCTCTTTTTTCTTTCCTTTTTTTCCTTTTTTCACCCCATTTTTTGGTTTGGGGTTTTTGGTTTTTTTTTTTTTTTTTTTTTTTTTTTTTTTTTTTTTTTTTGTTTTTTTTTTTTGTTTGTTTTTTTTTTTGTTTTTGTTTTGTTTTGTTTTGTTTTTGGGGGGGTGTTTGGGGTTTTTTTGGGTTGGTTTTTTTGGGATTTTTTTTGGGTGGTTTTTTTTTTTTTTTTAATTTCCCACCCCATGATCACTTATTTGCTCCCTGGAGATCACCAATGGCAGCTGGAGGGGTTGGTAGGAGGGCAGAATAAGACTCCCAGAGACTGCTAAACAGCTGGAATTATCAGGTAACTTGATGCCCTTGTCTAGGTTTTAATCAACTATCCCTTGCAAACTAAAATATCTCTGCAACATCAAGCACTGCAGTCTGGGGCTAAGTGCACCCAGGTCCACCTCAGTAGATTTCTCCTGTTCTCCTACTCCTGCAAAATAAACACCAGGCACAGAGAACAACTCAGAAAGTCTGTAATGGACAAAGAAGTAGGAGTGTACAGAAATGTTCTCCCTGATTCTAACTAAGACTCCCCTCCGCAGATCCTAAACCACAAATTTTTTAACAAGTCTAAAATTAGACACATTTATCTCAATACATGGCTGTTTCCTAACACACAAAGCTGTGAGGGTCAGTCTGTGCTATTTTCCCAATACTTGACCAAAACTTGAACTCTCTCACATCTGGACACTCTTATTCCTTGCTCAGCATACCATGGCACAGCCTCTCTCCTCCTCTATCTATCCCAGTCTCTTTCCTAATGAACTACAAATAAACCATACCTAGACTCCCTTCCTTGTAAGCCAAAACCAAGCTGCTCCTGGACTCCTCTCTCTTTCTACAACCCTCCTCTCCTGTCCTGCACCTCAGCAGGCAGCTTTACCTCTTTTCTTGCTGTCCTCTCTAGTACATTAAGCTCCTTTACCATTCTTTGAAAATTTTAACAGCACTTGAGGACCCCTGAAAGCACTCTGAACACTCTTTGGGTAGAGGAGTACACTTACATACAAGGTGGACTACCTAATTCAACCTAAAGTTCAGAACACTGACAGAATAACTTCAGAATAAACTAAAAGAATACTAATTGAAAGTGGGATATGTTATCTACTATTTCAAGTCAAAGTTTCCCAGCTCAACTTGAACGCTTTTTGAGAAATACAGAAACAGAATAAAGCTGGTATTGATGATGAATAAATCCAAGGGCGCAACATGTTATGGAGGAATTTTAAAAAAAAAAAAGAAAAAGAAAAAAATTGCTCTTAAGTAAATGCCCCTTCATAAGCCAAATTTCCCTGTAATGTATTTGAGCCAGTTTGCAATCCTCACTTCAAAGATGATACAATTTTCCCAAGCCTTTCCCTCATGAGGTGTGTGGTTTGTATTATAGTTTACTTAAAAGCAGAGACTTGGAATCAAACCCTGGCAAACACAGTTACACTTTTTTTTTTCATTATTTAATACTGTTTTTTTGTTGGTTTGGGGTTTTTATTTCTGTCAACTGCTTCAATAGTTTCAAAAAGCATGTCACAATTTATAGTGCCACCTAGTTTCTAACCAAAAGGTTACTACTAGGTAGTAGAGCTCAGTCTGCTTTCTCATAGATTAAAGGACACTTCCTGTACCATTTCAAGGAATCAAAAGGGGAGGAAGGGCTTGGTGTGCTCACACTCACCCTTTTGTTGTTCTCTTCTTCTTGTGCCTTCCTGAACTCGTGCTCCAGGGAGCAGTCGATGTCGTTGAAGAGGCCGACTTCCTCACAGTTCTTCAGAAAGCGTGTTGGTGTGGGAGTCTGATCTGAGAACAAGACAAGAAATGATCGTTGGTGCACAATATTAAAAGTAGAGGGAGACAATTAAATAGTCTTGCAGGAAAAGAGAGGTTCTAACCAAACTTGTCTTTGCCTTCCCACCCCTACCTACCACACCATCATTAAAAAAATCCACACAGCGCTGAGTTTCAACACTAAACGCTGCAGGCACCCATGATTGCCATCAATGTCCAAAAGCAGGCAGCAGTCATCATTTGGGCAGAAAGACAACAGCATGGGTTTTCCCAGGCCATGTAACACAAGTGCTTCTCCTTAATATGTGTAAATGGTCTTTAGAACTCTCTATAAACCTCCAAAAAGAGGCTCATGCTGTATTTCGGCACTAAATGCTGCAGGCAGCCATGCTTGCCATCAATGTCCCAAACCAGGCAGCAGTCATCATTTGGGCAGAAAGACAACAGCATGGGTTTTCCCAGGCCAAATAACACAAGTGCTTCTCCTAACCATGTGTAAATGGTCTTTAGAATTCTCTATAAACCTCCAAAAATAGGCTCATGCAGAACAATGCACAGTGCTTCTCGTAATGCACATTTAGATCACAGCACGCATGTTAACTGCTGTGGATGCACACTAGTTAATGCCTTCAAATGCTCAAAAACCACCTCAAACACACACATACTTAGCAAAAAAAAAAAAAAGGTAGCCATGGCAAGAAGCTTTGCTTCCAACACAATTTTTGAAGGAAGAGTTAAACAACACTTAGAAAAGCTATGAAAAGTGACATTCTGACCACAAAGAAGCATTCTTTCTAATTTTATACCTGGAAGTGTTGATAATACATGCAAAACCATGAAATTTGGAGTAAAAAAAAAAATTAATGCCTTCATCTCTAGGATTTTTCTGCCCTCTCAGAGTTAATACAAGAAGGGCAATATTCTCTTTAATGCCATAGGCAGGAGGAAAATTATAAGGTTTTCTGACACTTTTTCAAAAACCTCGAAGACAAACAAAATTGCCATGCAGACTGTAGTTTCAGTGATTTCAGTTTCTTTCTTCAGGAAATGAAAAATCAAGCCCAAATTTGGGAACCAAAGACTCCCTAAAGCACAGGTCTGAGGCACTTCTATTAATTCTAAGGCTAGTTCTTAATTATTCCACCTTGGCTCCTTCTTCCCAAAGCTCTGTCCCAGAGATGCTTTGAGATGCTTTGTATCTAATTTTACAGAAAGATTGGACTCACTTTGTTAAAAACTAATCTTCAGCATAGTCCTTGACTACTACATGTTGTTTGTATTTCATTCTTTAAAGAATGAAAACTCTGCCGTATTAAACCCCATTGCCCATATTGGGTCAATTCTGACTTCACAAAAAAGCTTCCCACTTCAACAAAGACAAAATTGCTTTCTTCCACCTAGCTAAGCTGGGTCAAGTTCTAATATTACCCCCTTACAGCAAACAGTTACCTAACACCATGAATTTTACATAATCAGGATAGAAATGCACATCAGCCCTTGATTAAGCAGTACAAAAGCAAGGTACACAAAAGAAAATGCAGTTTTCCTTAGAAACTAAGGAAGAGGATTAGCTTCCTCCGTTATAAAGCCAAGAGAAGGCAATTTCCACCTGTAACAAGCATGGTCCTCCAGGTTTGACTTTCTCAGGTAATCCAAGGGCAAAGACACTCATTTGCATTTATATTTCTGATGGAACATCAAAATGCAAGTCCTCAATAGTAAAATTCTTTTTTCATTTCTTTTGGTTTGAGCATCCTACTTATGAACTTAAGGGAAGCAAACTTCAAGTATTTGGGAATGCACACTTATTTATCTGTTAGCTTTCACATCTGACTACTGTATTACCAGAGTTAGGAACAAAACTTTCTAAGAATCCTGCAAGAACTCAGACTAAGGAGATGAGTCAACAAGGTGCTGGCATCGATGGGAGCTGAGGACACTCAGCACTTTATAGGTCCATATCCTAAATAAGCAGTGCCAAACAAATCTCTAAAGTAACCTCAGTAAACTCAGTAGATTTACACCAGGGTTGTTTTTGGCCCTTGGACTGGAGCTCGTACTGGAAATGAATGGCACTAAAATGCAGGAGAAATAGATTTCCTTTCCAAAAAGGATGAAATGCTACTTTAGTGAACAACACCATTGTTTTGTAGAAAATCAAAAACAATTGTTGCTAAGCCTTCCTGGACACAAAGGGCTCACTGAATGTGAAGTAAACAGAGGAAAGGGGTATATCCATATCAAAAAAGCAAGGTATCAATTTCATGGCCAAGATGAGAAACTATGGATTCATAAAGAATTAGATGCCACTACTTTCACTAGAACCAAAAATTCTGGGTTTCTTCAGAGTTGCTTGGGCCCAGAACCAACAACAAAAAAAAACCAACAACAAAAAAAAAGTTATCTCATTGAAGTAAATCCATTTTAACAGTGAAAAAAGCAAACCAGAACAAGAATGTGACTTCAAATGCACAAGGGTCTCAATGGCTTCTTTTCTCTGCTCATGCTGAAAATCTATCTTCTGTACCACAAGATGACCGTGGGTGTTGCCTACAGTTGAACTTTCCAATTAACTACTTTAATATCTCAAAATATGAAAAGTGATAATGACACTGTTTACACCACCTACATATAGAGACGGTGATCTTATTTTATTACCTCAGTCTCCCCATACTGCTACTGTAGTTCCTATGTTCCAGAAATCAGACTGGCAGGAATTCACATCGAGATTTTTGTTAAAACAGACAGCCCCTCGTTTCTCCCAACCGAGGAAGGAGCACCACCAACCAGCCAGCCCAAGCTCCATCCACAGACCTCCTGGAAGTCAGCTCAGCCAGATGCAAAACAATACCTGCCTTCCTAGTTCTAAGACTTCAGCCTTCAACATTCACAGCAAGCAGAAGGCCACAAAAACTCTCTCTGTGTGAAAGCAGAACTGATAAAGATCCAGACTTTAAAATGTTGAGACTTTGTGTAGTAAAGCAGTTATGCTGCACATACACTGCACTCACTGGTCTCAGGATTTCGAGGTTACCAAGTCTAATGAGCTTGATTTGCTCCTGATTTGCCTCTGCAAAACACCAGTTCTCCTTTAGGATGTGGGCAAATTTTTAGAAGAAATCCCTCTCAGCACCACAGAAATTCTTTTACCTAGATTAGGCAAGCCTTTGTGTTTTAATTGGGAGGAGTATCACAAGGGAGACCCTAGCATAAGCTACAAAATCAGGTCTCCCAGAATTAATAAAATATTCCTAATTCTCAGCACTTAAAAATGCATTAATAGTTCCAACAGCTTGTGCCTGACCTCATTGTTCCCTGTTGGTACAAACAAAGCTTTTGTTGCTATCACCAGCGCCCACAACTATTGCAGACTCACTGAGAGCAGGGCTCTGATTTGTTGCACTTCAGCAACTGGATGAGCCAGACCCATCTGGACCGAAACTCAGACAGAGCCAGCACCACTCTCAGCATTCCTGCTGAGGACACACGTTATGTAGGAAGCTGCCCTGCAGGCACACTGCTACTCACACAACCCAGGACTCTAATATTAGTCACAAACTGTATTTTGTATTGGCAGCTTGGGATACAGGATTATCTGGGTTAACCCAAGATACCTGCCTAGTATAGCTGCTGATCAGTATAGCTGCTGATCAACTATCTCAACACAGACCCGTCGTTCAGCAGGTAAAAATCTTTCTATCCTCAACTAGTTCCATCCTCTAGAACTAGTTTACTGTCCTTTGAGGCATCTACCTCTAGCCATCTGTCACTTCATATTTAAACCTGTCATCTGATAATTATTAGGAATTTTTTTCTATCTCAACCAATTTAAACACAGATTATGTCAAGCTTCAGACTAGACAATGAAAATGTTGTTCAGCCTATTACTCAGGGGAATAATCAGCTTCTCTGATGGCACAGCCATGACCAGAAAGGCTGCAAGAAACTTTAAGTTCAAATAAGCCTCAAAAAAGTAAATGGACAATATATAAGCCCCAGAGGAAGCCAAATGATCACAAGTTAACCTACTGCATCTTACAGGAAGGGATTTCAGATGTACTCAAAAATCATATTCAGGGCAGACTTTCACATACTGTGTATATTTTGGTTGCTGACTTTTGAAAACATGTCCTCAATGTCTGAAGTGATACCTGATTTTTCAGACTCATAAAAAAGACAAATGTGGTAAGGCAATGGGGAACTTGAAGGTTTCAATAAAGTCAAAAGGTTCCATTATGTACTCACAACATTTGGCAATGCATGGGGGTTTCTATGTTGTTTTTTTTTGGGGGTGTGGGGATTGAAATAATAGTCTCAGAAAGGACACTCAGTCTCAATTCATTGTTTTCAAAACAACAGCTTAGGAAATACAATATTAGCTTGCTATACAGAAACTTACTTGATTCATCCAGAATGTGTTTTGTAAAATTACCTTGAATTCCTGAGTTTCATCCCTCAAAATACAAAAGGAAACTTTAAAGCACGGTACCAGTTTTAAAAAGCCCTGGAGAACCGAAGGATACTTATTTGAAACGAGCTTTCATTTTGAGAAAAAAAACATTAAAATTCTGATTTGGTGAAAGATACCTAACAGCCCAGCTCCAAAGTGTGTAACTTGATTCTTCATTTCTCTTTCCCAAAAAAAAAGAAAATTGTTTAGTCTGATGTGCAATAATAATAGACACTTGGCTTGTTCAGCTGTGGGCTCTGTTGAAGTTATACACTTACCCATGTTGTACTTTCATACAATGATAACAAAGTCAGAGTAATGGGGCTAGCACAGAAATCTGAAGGGCTGTCCAACAAGCAGCCACAAAGACAGAGGAATGCCCTGAGAAGTTCAGAAAAGCTTCTTCATTGATTTCACAGGTTTCCACTCAAGTGCACTGAGGAGCTCAACATCGTAACACAACAACCAGGTGGAGAAAGAGAAGAAGTGCACCCAAACATAGGTGTGAAACTGCCCCCACCCAGATGAGGGCTACCAAGAACTTTACTGCCTAAATATGTACTCTTTAAAGCACTGGTTGGACTTTCCTGGAGGGGTACACATACTGAGCATAACTAATTTTTAAAGTCTTCTGGTCGCTCTGAAACTGACCAGTAAATGTAAGAAAATGTTTCATTTCATTTTTGATAAAGCAAGGGACACAGAAACAAACAAGAAAACAAAGTACAGTATGAGTCCTCATACCGAATCATTTTGCACACCTCAAAATTCATGCCTTGATAAACCTCTCTACTACACAGAAGGAAGAAATAAACTACAAGGAGGAAAAATTAAGGCAATCAAGAGTGATGTAAATTACCTCACTGGCACAGGCATTACTTGGGAAAAGGAATACCTCTGCAGTACTTTATTACAGGCACTTCTTCCATCTAGAGAATACTGTTTCTACCTCCACAGTGGGCTTTATGACCAAAACTCTAGAGGGTTTGGTTTCATTAAATAGAATGAGGAAGGAAAAGAGGTTTCTATGTAGATAATCCCCATCTCCCAAAGTTCAGTCCCACAGGGCTTTTATTATTTCCCTGGAGGAAGCAATCTATTCTACAGACATTAATATTTTGGTGTTTAAACACAAAAGCTTTGTCACACAACACAATGTAAAGTGTCAAAGCAATGCAAACACTGTTCACTCTCTACAACAGCAAAGAGCTGATATCTATTTCAGTCAATTTAACTATAAAGTTGCCTGCAATGGTGGCTAGCATGCAAAACTTGCATAAGATATCCTGTGTTATCTCAAACAGCTCTTTTTTAGCTGGAAAGATGGAAATGGAAAACACCAATGACTCTCCATATTCTTAACAAGACTTTCTAACAAACAAAAATAAAATACATACAACAAGGAGGAGCAAACATTAATTCTAAAAGACAGAATTTTGTTGTCAAGTTGTCCAACAAAAGTATCACTTGCATTTTAGTGCAATGCCTCTAGAGGATTTTCCTTCTGTTTATACAGTCAGAGAACAGAAAGCTGTTTGGTGTCCATGGGTATTTGGAGTTTCTGAATTGGTTCAAGGGATGGGTTCACCAGATTTAGTATAACTTGTTCTTCTTAAACCAGCATGAAAACAATTGTAGAAAACATAGTGAAGCTAGTTGATAACTCGAAAGCTCTTGGAAAGACATACCTGATAAACCAGCACAGCACTAATTGTTGCAATCAGGTCATGCACCATTGTTTATTAGACACTGACCCCACCTACATAACAACATACAACTTCATATATAACATAACTTTACCTCTCCCTCAGAAGCTTATATTTCAGACCCAAACATAAATTTCACTCAAAAAACAAGTTCCTTCTTCCCAAATAATATTTTGCTTAGTTTCTAAGATGTCTTACACAAAAGCAAGAGTTTCACTGCCTACTTCCAGGAACAGTTTATAGAAAACATGTTTAATGTGTGTTAAATATTACTGATATTAGAGTGAACCCAGACTGTGGATTAAGCTACTTCTGTAGACAGAGTAAATAATTCTAATATCTACCTGAAAGCATACAGTGTGTTATTTTGCATGACTAATTGTTAATAATAATGCTAATACACAACAAATTAAAAGATAGCATACAACATACTGGAAAAAAAATTAGAAAGTCTGACTTCTAGGCAGCTTAGGAGAAAGCGGGGGTGGGAAACTAGCACTGCACCTGGCTTATTACAGGGCAATTGCTGCTGCAATTCTTTGAACCTACTGATGACAGGAACAATTTTTTTAAAAAGTCACATAAGCAAAAATGCATAAAACAAGGAAGACATGAAGACAAATGTCTAAGAGGAAAGTCTGTCTCTTTTTCCCATATATCATTAATTTTTCATTCTGAAACCTAAGAATAAAACATCTTAAACTTTAAGGTATTTAGATTTCCCCCAGGGTTTCAGTGGGTAATGAAACAACTATTTTTCAATGTCTTCCTGCAGAGAGTAGATGATCTATGATGCTTCCTGAGTAAGGACAGCAAAATGCCAAACAAATTCAGCAAACACAAAAAGAGGAATCAATACACCAGCAGAACCAATTTGCCAGGGCATTATGGTCAGGAACATTGGCCACAGTCCTTGGGAACATGTGTCTTTACTCTTTCACTACTACACAGGACCATCATAAACAAACCTTAAAGAATACATCCCTTAGAAGCAATCTCGGAGTCTTTCTGGCCTGAAAATTCTGCATTAGTATGTACAGCTGGCTAACTGCAGGTTTAGGGGGCCCAGTACCAGTGGTAGTGCTGGAAGACAGACATTCTTTTTGCTTGGGAAAGCAACTCATTGGAAGGAGCAGGACGGCTAAATCATAGAAGTTACCAAACACAAATGGAGCTTCTCTGCTCAGGGGATTCCTGATGACAGAATAGATTCTTTAGAAACTGCACTCGAACAAAAGTCTTGCCAAACAGAAAGTTTTAACAAAAGCCAGCACTTGCACAGGGTGAATGTGCCCACAGCACAGATGTCTTCGAGCAGTTTCACTGCCAAAGGACAGAGCCAAATGCAAAAGCAGCTTTTCCTCATTTGTGCTTGCAAACACAGGGTTCTGTGGGCATAGCTGGCACTCAGGCACTTTACAAGATCTAGTCTTCAAAATGCTGTGTAGTGGTTCTTTCTAAACTTAGTCCACTATGGCATTTTAAAATGAAAAGCAAAATAAATTCTATTTGGGAAAAAGACCGTCTAACTTTTCATTGGTGCCCAAAGTCCCAACAAAAAAAATAAACCAAACAAAGACCTAAATATTTGCAAGCCATTGTTGCTTCATTATGATTTTCATAAAAATCAGGAAACAGTTTAACCAGAAAATAGTTATTCTGCTGGAGTCCCTTTAATGAATATATATTTGCATCTGAAATGGCACAATTTACCTTGAAGAAGCCCATTGCAAAAGAAAAATATCAAACACTGCTGAATATCCACACACACATTTGCATCACAGAGGGGGTTTTCTACCATTACTTTGAAACCTGAAAAAGTCTAGAGATACTATTCTAGATAGTGCATTACTGTAGCCCAAAGAATAAACAATAGGAAAGGGAGTAGAAGAGGAAAGAAGTAAAATGAAGGGCTAGCTTCGCTTTACCCAACACTGGTGAAGGCCAGCAAGCCATTGATATGTGGTTACACAGACAAGAGCACAGGAAGACTACATAAGAAATACACTTCTCAAGAAATTATGGGGTGCAATTGTACCTAATAACCCTGTTGATGAAGGGGGAAGTGCAGGGAGAGATGGAGAAAGAGTACTGGATATCACCCACTTGTTCACCTTTCTGGTTTTTGCTATTTACAGCGAGCAGTTCCTGAGTCACCACACAGGTGGCTCATACAATGTGGCCTCTTCTAGTTGCTGAAGGAAGTCTGTCCAGCTTAAATAGCAATTCTTCCAGCAACAGCACAAATGCACATCATTAACACTCTCACTGCTGGGCTCCCAAGTGACACACACTTAAGTGCCTGTATTTCACTGGAAATCAGAGACAGAGCTGCCAGCACGCCTGAGGTTCAGTGATTTCTTTCCCTCTCATGGCAAACTAGTATGAAGGCAGAAGAATAGCAACTGTCTTTCTGTTCAAAGATATGCATTCTAGCTTAATCCACCTCTCCTTGTTATTTAATTGGAGCTGGGGCTTTTTAAAACCAATCTTGGAGTCATTTTGCCAGTAGCTTTCCAATAGGAGTCATGCTTTCAACATCATCTGAATAGTTATCTCGACTCTTGAATTCATGTCTTCTTACCTGATAACATATTATCTGTTTTTATTGAAGGAAACTTCAAAGTCATTTCATGTTTGTGCCTGTGAATCATCAGATGATCCTCTGTTGGAAAACGCTGTCAGGCAAACACAGAAAGAGAGAGAGGAAGAGAGAAAAAAAAAAAAGAAAAAAGAAGAATTTAATTCTCTAATAAACTTTTGGCATTGGACAGAATTTCAAAAATGAGAGACAGAAAGAAATTTATCCAGCTAGAAATGTGTCCAAATGGCACAGGAAACAGAATATTTGAAAATACAAGTGAGTATGAGTAACAAATAGCTGCACTTGATTTAGAAACACATTTGCTGACGTTCTCTCTGGGATGACAAACCGTAAGGTGTCATGCAACTGCTTGAAAAAAATTACAGTCCAAGTTTTAGATTCTAAGGGTCTCAGACACCCACTCCAGCTACCACAGCCTCACAAGTCACCACGTGCCTGAGCATCTGCGATAGCTGCTGTTCTCTATGCTCTTAGCCCTCGGCAAATGCTAAGTAATGAGGCAAATCTTAAATCACTTTACTGGATTTTTCTGCTTTTGTGTCTTTCTGCAATGTATATCTGATGAACAGCTATAAAAATAACTAAATAAGCCAGCTTTTTTCTATCCAAAAGTATTCAGGCAAAACACGTCTTTAATTTTGGAAGTATCTGATACTTTGACTTGATTTGAAGTGGCAATTAAATGGTGCACAGTTTTATAGCAACTAGTTATGACCCTTTATGATACTAAATCAAATTATTCTCCTTTGTCAAGCAGAGAAGGTGGAGAGATATTTTTTGTAAGAAACCAATCAGTGTGCTAAGTTTGTTTTACAATCTGATTACAGACTTCTACAAGAAATAACTTCTTTTGAACAAAACAAAGAAGAGACAAGCTTGAATAAATGCTCAAGCACTTGCACATTTGGGCTCAAACAGCAGAATGGTTCAGTGAAGTTTCCTTCACCAGAATGTGCATACAAAGACCTTTGCTACTGATATGGTTTCAACTGGGTTATTTCAGGACTATGAAAAGCCAAAAGCTGTATCACAAGGCTTGAGAAAAAAATAAAAATTAAAAGCAGCTCTTTAAAGCAACAGGTACATGGGAGACAAAAAACAATGGCAACAACAGAGCTAAAGGGACCTAATGCTCTCAACACAGTATACTCTTGGCTAAGTGACTTTGTTTGTGGCTAAAGTATAAATAATTGCCATATGTTACACCTTCTGAGAATCTCTCTCTAAACTCATAGACAAAGCATAGACAAAAATAATGGAATTGAATTCTCGGGGGGAAAAGAAAAATTAAAAAGAAAAAAATCCCAAAGACCTTTTCCTCACTGTGAAATCCTGGTTCACTGCTTACTCATCTGGAAGAAATGCAGCATTAGGAGTTTATGTTAAGAACAAAGGGAATATCTGAGAAAGACTTTGCTCAATGAAATCATGAAGGGGGGCAGGGGGGGAAACCCACATTTATTTCTCTTGAAAATGGATTTTCCTTCAGGGATGCCATGTTCTCTCTTCATTATGAAATCAGCCAGCTTAAACAGGGTGTGGGGCAACAGAGGAGAAACTGTTCCTCCAGCCCAGACTTCTCTGTCTTTTTTCTAATTCTACTTTCTTCCTTGTGAAGAAGGTTGACTCCATCAGCCCTCAGCACACATCTGCAGGGGCCAAGAGAGAAGCCCCAGCCAGCTTAGCTGGACAGCAGCTCTGCATTATGCACTTTTGTCAAGTCCTCATTTATAACAAACAGGGGTCAGGTTGGGGAACGGGAAGTTAAATGCTTTTTAAGATGGAAGTCACATCTACATTGTTCATCTTTCCAAATTGTAACAGCATGCAACCAAAGTTGCTCTCTGAACACCTAAAAGTGCTTGTCTGGATCAGCTTCTCTTCCACCGAGGAAACTAATTAAGAGTTGACATGAAAACACTCTAGTCCACTGATTTCAGTGGAATTTAGTTTCATCAAAAAGGTAAATAAACATCACAATTAAACTCAGATACTTGTATTCTACATCTGTGACAGAACGGTGAAAGTTTAACTCTGCATGTGGAAATCTAAAGGGACATATTCTCAGCCTGAGGGATAATCCAAAAGATGCACTCTGCGTCCCATAGAAAAACTCCCACTTAGTGAAACAGCAAAGCCACTCAGCCAGTTGTTAACTGGACTGAAGGCTTCTGCCTCTCCTTATTTCAGCTCTTGGCAAAATCAACACCTAAACTTCATTAAGAGTCACCCACCCCTCTTCCAGAAGAACCTAAAGAGTTGTAAGTATCTTACCCAGCTGAAAACTCCCAACATATGGTTGAAACAGGGAAAGGTTCATTAATTAAGAGAGGAAGACTCTGGGGAATGGGTAAGCTGTACCACGTGACATGGATGCTCACAGGAAGCCTGTGGCAAAAGCCCAAAAGATGCCCTTGTCTGCAGATTGTATTCACAAATTCCTGTTACTAAAACAAATTAGGGTCACAAGTGCCACACATGGAACTTCCCTCATCACTGTCTGTGAGGCAACTTCCCTCACCTCTGCAAAATCACTGAAAAAACACACACCCCCCAGTTCAAATCTCAGCAGGTAAAATCCTTGTCACTTCAGGGTTTTTTTAAGCTCATTAAACATCTAATGTTACAAGTCAGGTTTTCCCCTTGGAGACATATGGCAGAGCACCAGTCAAAAGGACAGGAATCCCAAATGCACATCCTGGGGCAAAATTTATCTAAAGCTGCATTTTCCATAGAAAATATTTAGTAGGAAGATATCTTAAAGATTAAAAATAAATAAATACATAAATAAATTAAAATCAGCTAATAAGATATAATTGCACTTACGTATTTTTTGCTCAATGAAATCATGAAAAAACAAAAACAAACAAACAAACAAAAAAAAAAAAAAAAAAAAAAAAAAACCCAAAAAAAAAAAAAAAAAAAAAAAAGCCAAAACCAAACCAGGAAGGTTATTGCCTCCAATAGCAACATAATATATTCCATTATACATCTCATCAGAAGACAGATAATCCTGCCTAGTGTGTCATCTCTTGTTAGTCCCTAAAGGAATCTGCAACACATGTCTTGAAGCATAAGCTTTGGGATGAGAAAAGGCACAAAACCAGCCTGAGGAGCACTTGTACCAACTCACTTTTGACTGGCTATTGTATTTGCTTGAAATATTTTGTAATGGTGTCTTGTGGGAAAGGAGAGAATTGAGGGGAAGCAGGTCTTAAAAAAAAAAAAAAAAACCAACACAAAAAAAACCCTGACACACATATTATTATTAGACATGTGTTAATATATCAGGAGGCATTATACAAGCCAGAGCTAGTGCTGAGGACTCAATTAATATCACCGCTGACTCCACTCACCTGTGAGCAGCCTGGGGCACTGCAGACAAAAGGCCTCTCCTGCTCCAAGTTCATCTTTGATTCCTCATAAATCTACATGTTAAAAGGGGAAGGGGGAAAGAAAGGGAACCTATGAATATATAAGTTCTAAACTTGACACATGCATGCAACATACAGAAATGGCAGTTTGTGCTTTTATTTCAAACTCCACAAACAGATCAGAACAAAGTTTTCATACTCAGAGTACTAATTTTGCTAATATTCAGCAGGTTCTCTGGAGTCTAAGTTCTTATTGCTCCTTCCTGAGCACCAATTTACTTTTAAGAAAGAAATATAGTTCATCTTTCACAGCATAAATCTGCCTCAGAAAATAGCATATGTTCAGTGTTGTTATTAGATAAGACCGTGTCTTCTCAGAAATATCTTGAATTAAAGGTTTTTACCTTTCCTCCTTCAGTTCCTGCTGAACAACATTAAAACCAGACGTCTAGGTTACTTCTGAGAAAGAGCCCCCTTTTTGAAGTTCTGCACCCATACTGTCTGATATTAATAACTTAAATACATTACATACATGCTCTCCATGCACACAAGGTAACTGTGCATCCCCAACCTTTAAAAGGTCAACTAGAGCCTCAGGAGCTTCAGCAGGGAAGTTTGTCTAGAGCTGCACTTCCACATAGCAGTTCCAGTCCTGTAACCTTGAACTAAACCCTGGGGGAATGCTTCCAAGTCTTAAATAAGGGCAAAGGATGAAACATTCACCCTCAGAATGCAGTTATGCACCTGAATTTGTGTCAATACTAGGGCAGTGTCTCTGAGAAAAAAAAAAAAAAATTAGTAAAATTCTAGGGAGTAAAATAAGTATGTAATTTATTTCAGAAATGTTTTCAGCCTGTTGGAACAACTGTTTTTACCAGCTAGAACGTAGTGGCTGACCCATCTTAAAGCAGATGACTTATGTTTAGCAATTCCCTAAAATCCCCTAAAACAACCTCACCACAGCCTCTTTTAGAAAAATATCTGGATGATGTTTAGGTAATTTTTTCATGACCCAAAGAGAAATATCTTGGTGGAGAAGCAGAATTTGATTTTATAACTACAAAAATCTGCAGAGGGACAGGCGGTAAAATTGCTCAAATCTACTGAATTTTTTTCAAGGTACAGTCTATTTTTCGTATCATCGTGAGTATCTTTAGCATGCTTACAGTTGATAGTGTAATTCACCATTAACCTGTACATCAGCCAGACCCGTACTTGCAGCAATTATTTTCACTGGATGATAACATTTTCTTTTTAGTTAAACTTCATTCTGGTGGACAACATTAGCCTGACAGTATATTTTCCTAACTGTGACATAAAAAACTCTACTCTGTCTGACTCCACTGACTCCTAGAAGCAGAATCCAGAAGCGAAGCATTTCTACTTTCATTTGCCCTTCAACCTCCACAAGGACACTACTCCTAAAAGTTGATAATAAGCACCAAGTGATCATGAGCATCTCTACCAACATCTGGCCTGAGACAAATGATTTACAATACAATAAATTGTCAAGAAAGACCCTAACTCAGGCATAACTTATGTATCCACACAAGGCTAGAACCAAAATAACTAAAATTGTACCTAATTTACTCCTTTAAGATTATTCATATCCTGTTTTGATTTAACTTACAGCTATGTTAAACTGAAATAGGATACTCATAATCAGAAATGAAAGAGTATATTCGCATACTAAAATAACTAAAGGTGTTAAATTACTTCTAATTTCAGTTATTTCAGTTCCAGACTGTGCATAGACAAGCTCTTCAGAGATGAAGCCATAAAAATACTCTGAATTACACTATCCTGTCTGAAAGAAACAAGCAGCAGAGAGATAACTGACTAGAAAAACAAACCCCCGCAAAAAAACAAAACCAAAACCTCCAGCTAAGTTAGATTTTTAAATCCACCTCTATTTATGGGATGTGACCCCAGGCATGTTGTCTTTCCTAAAGACAACTTTTTCCTTTACACAGAAAGAAAAGAAAAAAAAAAGGAAGCTATGCATGGATAATGAAAGGCTTTATTTAATATCTCAATAGCTCCTGCAACTGAAGCACTGCCAAAGATTTCTGTTACCCCTTTTTCCCCTCCTCAGGGGACAGTGACAACAGCATTTTCAATAGCAAAACAACAGATGAGACTCAGTTAAAGAAAACAAGATAGTTACAATTCTGGTCCCAAGTGTCCAAGTGAGTTTCAAAACATTACCAGGAATTATTTGGAGTTTGATTTCTTATTGAGTATTGCAAGTCTAAGACTTCCCTCCCCACCCTGAGGTTGACCTTTAGTCCCTGAATCCATCAGTGCATGCTCTTTTAACAATTTCTCTTTTAACAATATTCTCAAGGTTATCCAGTAGATAAGCATGGACTAAGCATCAAAATAACCTACTAGATGAGGACTAGAATCCTGAGTGCAGGGATCAGCTCTCGGAAATCCACTATAAGAAAACATGGACTTGTTGCTTACTCTCAGTATCTGGAAAAGGCGTCAGATTCAACATCAAATTGTTTTCCCCAAACGTACAAGCAATTGCTTATTTCCATGAGAATCATTCTTTGCAGACAGTAAACATAAAAGAAGCAATAATCCAGAATGGCTGTACCACCTGCACTGCAAGGTGCTGTCTAGCAGAACTTGACCTGTATAACGTGTTACCAGATGCTACAGTGCCCTCAAGACAAATTGCAGAACTGGTGTTTGCATGTGGTGCAATCACTGCAGTTGAGACTGTGGTACCACTGACGCTCTTACAACAGTAAATGAGTGCAAGAAGCTGCCTGCTGCCTGCACTTTGTGCAAGTGTCTGCTGCTTGGTTATCATATGGCAGTAATTCCAGCGTGGTGCTTGAATGTTGACCAGAAACAAGCAGCTGAAAGTCTGGGCTGTGAGTTCAGCCTCCTGCATGTCTCAATCCCACTGAACTCTGCAAAAGCTGCGGATGCACCGGCACCACCGGGCCTCGCCCCAGGTTTGCAGCAGGATGGGGGCTCTGAGCAGCAGAGCTGCTCTGGTTGTGCACAGCACAGCTTGCATGGCATCCTTCTCAGGATGCAGGCAGGCATCTCCCATCCTGCAGCTCAGACAGCTGCACACAGCCTCTGGCACACACCTCTCTTCACGTGTCTCACGTGTGCTGCTGGGCCACACAATCCACGTCTTCTTCTTCCACACTGTGTGCAGGTGAAGGAAGGAAACAACACAAGCAATGGCAACATTTCTACTTCACCTAATAAAAATATATCACAGCAGCCTTTCCATCTAAATTAAGGTGCTTATTAGCCTTTGGGATCTTAAAAATTCAAGTTACCCTCGTGCAACTCTTGAAGTACTACTAATAACCTCTGCAATTAATGCGTGTGAAGAATATCAGACAAATCTATGACGACTGTAAAGTTAAAAAATTGCTCCAGTCTGAATTTTTTGCTTCTGTTATCAATAGCTTAATTTATTGCAACTTTGTGACTTTTTTGAAGAAATAATCAAGGACTATAAATAAAAGTGAACACTGTTATTGATATGTCAGCATTAGTTCTGATATTATTAACAATAGCCATGAGTGCATAATCCAGCAGAAAAGGGGGCTGAATTTTAATAGACATGTTAACAACATCTGTCAGCATTTATTGCCCTATTGTGACCACGTAAAGAGCCTTATTGGCAGAATGTGTAAGTGAGGAAATCTGCTATGCTGTTGTAGCCTGCCATTCTCCTGAAATATCACTTTGCTCAGGAGAAGCTAAGGTATTCTAGTTACAAAAAGAAATAAATAAAAATACAAGAGAAAGGCTTCCCCAACCTATGTCACGTAGTAGAGAATCAAGTAAGTTCTGTAGCAAGCCAAGATTTTTTCTACTCCTTGATTTTTGCATAAGAGTCTTCTAAAAGATTTTTATTATAATTAATAAAACTGAAGCCCACAGTGAGGAATGCAAGAACATAACAAAGAAAAAAAAAGCGGACAGAAGAAACGAAACCACTCTCAGAACACAGCAACAAACTACATCTCCTCTCAGCAGCATCCAGAGGGAAGTACCCCATGTCCTCAGGCTCCTCACGGAGATTTTGCAGAGCCCCAGGATCATCTTTTCTGAACTAGAAAAAAACTGTTCTTACATCTAAGATCAAGAAAGCATTCTCCTTTCTGTCTCTCTCTCCCCCTTTTTAAACTCAGCAGTAATGTTACTGCCATACTGGTAAAAACATCAAGCAGGCTTGTTTCCTGTTTCAATGTTATTCTTGAAGTAGGCTGCAGTAAGAATCTGATTTTCATTGGGCTATTATTATTTGCAGCTGTGTGACCTTTTTAACCCTCTTTTAAAAGTGACATTTCAGCCTTCAACCTCAAGCTGTCTAAATGTTGCAGGGTTTTCAGGCCTCTGATTAACAGAGGAAAAAGAACCGATGGGGAGGTGTATACTACAACGTGTCTAATGCAGGTCAGTGCACCCATCCTGCCATTTGCACAAGTGAGTAATTACACTCTTATAAGCAACCTGTTTGTTGAAATTAATCACCTGGGTTCATGCTTGCAAGACAGGTTTCTTCAGCCTGGTGTGACCAAGGTCACTGAGATTTCCAAACACAGGTACAAAGCACACGGTCTCTAGCGTTAGCAGCGCTACGCAGAGACATGAGCAATAAATGAAACCTGTTTTTTAGGGTCACGGGCACAATGTTTAAAAAGTGAGAGGAGACATGGTTACACTGCACTTGTGAATAGCAAAGAGCCCCATCAGTGTATGCAGCATTTTAAACTGCTAGTCATGGCTATTCAATACCGTGCTATTTATAGATAATTAGAGCGTTATTAGAAATGCTATTAAGGCTTGTTGCTTTTGGAAGTGCAATACACGCAGGGTTAATGCCCACAGTTGTTCCCAATACATACTTGCTTGAGCAAAGCCAATTTGAAGCAGTATTGTGCTGGAACGGTGCACGGTGGTTTTTCTCAGCGTGGGCTTTTCAGTGGAAGTGCTTGTTTTCTGAGCTAGCATCACGCTTTCCACATGCAGGCATACAGGCTTATTATCACAGCTCTGCCTGCTTCAGC